ATACATGCTTGACATGTAACCTTTGAGCTAAAACATACTTCTAAATACAACTCTGACATTTTAGTTTGTACTTTAAATTAATGATATGATATTCAGTAATTTTTCTTCTTTTAGAAATGCAGACTTTTAATTTTGATCGGTTTGCTCTATTAGTCTTGTTAAAAATCTATGACTTTAACATGGCAATAAAAAAGAGTTAGAAAACTCTTACATAAGATGGCTGCTTTTGTTCTTGAAATTACTGAGCCAGACTGCCATCTATTGGAAAATAAATATTTTCAAAAACTATACTTTAAAAAAAGAAAAAGAAACTGAAACAAGCTATTGTCAAAGGCCGATTTTCTTAACAATCATGCTTAAAATAGCCTTTTTTAAAGAGTGCCTGTTATCTAGGCTGTTAGAATTAAGGATTTTCCCTGCATCCTTTTCCATCTCAAATTTGACCAAAAATGGTGTGAAGCAAAGCACACAGCGCCTTTTCCCCCTTTCTGAACAGTAAGATCTCTGTTGAGGAGCAATTTATACATTTAGCAGGCACAGTAAAAGTGTAATATGTTACCACTGAACAATAAATTGCTAGAATGCTCTCCCAGCTTGCCTGGGATGCTGTCAGGACTTCCCAGGTCTTTGCATACATAGAAGAATTAGAGTATATCTGAGGCACAATGGCCAAAATTAAAAAGAAGAATAAAAATGTGGAAGGGTACTGAGAGTAATAATCTATGAATTTTTACTCACGTGAACATCACCTGCATTCAGCGCACAAGCCATCTTTGAGAAAGCTGGGGAATTCCAACTAAAATACTGCCTAGGTATGTGAATGACTTTTCAGAACTCTCTGAAATAATATAACAAGCCACATCTCCCAGTTTACCTGCAGTCGGGCCTTTTAATTTTGTGCAGAGTGAAAGCTGTTGTCTGGTAACTCATATTTTGTCCGATAACTATGAATATTATACATTTTTTTTTACTGACCAGTGAGGATTGATTATCCAATCATAGAAGTAAAATCTTACATGACAGCACATGGAATGTATATTAGAAGAAAGTCAGGGTCATAAACTCAACCACTGAACATTTTGAAGTTTCCAGTATAGCTCTAACTTGACCATCTTTGGTGTTTTCATTATAATGAGCTCCTCAATTAAATGATTAAGTAACTTTTTCTCATCTCACTCTGCATTATCCAACAAGTGTTCATAGTTGATCTTCTTCATTACCTGTGCTCCTTCAGGAAGGTAAAACAGTCTGTTCTGTGTCCCTGCTTAGCACTGGGGCTGGATTAGATGATCTCTAGAGGTCCTTTCCAATCTCAGCCATTCTGTGATTCTGTGTAATCCCAAATTTTACCTTTCAGCTTCTGGAATGGCTACGGGAACATTTTTACTCATTTCCCCTTATGCCCCTATTCACGTTTATATTGTTGTGTCTGTGCTTACTCTTTTTAGTCATACTCACTACTCCACTGTCCCCTCCCCTCCTCAGATGTCCAACCCTTCTAGTACTCCAGCTTCTGCCCTTTGCTTTTTCACTTTTCCTTTTGATTTTTCTATGCCTGATGCAGACTCAGAACCAAAACAGAACTCATAGGCAATTTGGAATTAAGATGCCTAACCCAAAATTTTTGATCCAAAACCCATCTTTTTCAGATGTCACCTAGCCTTATAGCTGTACAAACTTTACCCTCTGTCTGATTTTAAGATTCTGCAAGCACACAAGGCTCAGATTTTGTTAATGTCTCATAGTCTTTATAGGCTGATCAGCTTTGACATATATTCCTATTTAACCACAATTGGATATATAAAATACCTACTCTTCAACCTATCATGACTCTTGTCATAACAGTATCTTCATCATCATAACTCATTTTTAAAGTCAGGACAAATACCACACAATCAGTCAAGAGGAAACATTACACAGAAATTGTGTAGTATTTTCAGTGCTAAATGCACCAAAGAGCTTTTGCTGAAGGCTGGAGGAAGTCCATTAGTGTAAACCATATCAGTACCACTGGCTGAGTGATTGGATGAATAATTTCTGAAATAGAAGACAGGATTCAATTCTTTCCTTGACCTAAAGAAGTTTGAAACCACATCACCTTCAAAAGAAAAAGTTTTTCAAAAGAAAAATTCTGCAGGTTTTGTACCACTGAGCAATAGGCAGTGCAAGACAACTGACCTAGGACAGAAAGGGTACAGAATTTAGTAGCGAACAGGGAGATCACAAGGTCTGTCTTCAGGATTGCTTTAGTATTTTTATGGTCATTGTAAAATGCAGAAAGAATACTGGAGGGGACTAGTAGGTTGGTACTTAAGGCCTTTTATTTGGAAGACTGTAAATGTTTTATGTCATGGATAGAACTGAACACCACATTTCCACTTGCTAGATGAAGTAACTGACAAGTTGTTACATAAATGTGGGCATCCCCACAATCCTTATGCTAAATAAAAACAGTGAGCCCTGCTCTTTCAAAGAAAGACCTTGAATCCTAAATTGGCAGATATTCCTTTCTGCAGTTGTGAATCTAGCTAAACCTTATCTACCCAGAATAGCACCATAGATGGTTTGATACTCTTCAGCAGAATCAGTTGTTTAAAAACATTTCTAGAGACACCTGCCTCCTGCTGCTTTCTCTTTCATGCGCCCCCGCTAGGCTCAGGAGACAGTTTCTGCTGTTCATTTCTCCATCTCATCAGGTTTCAATCCACAAGTTACTACTATTTCCCACTGAATCTCCCCAATTTTTGCCTGATACCATTCTGAAGAATAGCATGATGCAAAGACAGGGGAAAGGTATCTCCAGGTACCCAGATCCTGGTACGTACTTTTGAAGATTCTCCCCAGGGATCACAAAATGTCACGATTTTAGATTTTAGGTTTTTAGTCTTGGTCACCCGCACTGTACACGTAGTTGAAAAGACTGCACTAGTCCTAGTCTCCGGAAGCAAAATTTGTGGAGGAAATGGCTTTATGTGACACATTACCAACAAGGACCTAACTTCTGCCCCCATGTCGAGTGGCTATTGGTAAGTTGGCACAGTCAGGATGAACGTTAGGGGAGCAGCTGCTCAACTGAAGCCAGTGGCTTCTACAGGGCCACCTAGTGCAGTTCTCCCCACGTGCACTCCCTGCTCCTGCAGCAACACTGAATAGGGACTGAATGAGCACAGGTAATAGGGGGCATCCCACTGCCCTCCTGAGATCACCTGCGCAGGATTCCCAGTGAGGGGAAACCTAGAGTCAAAAAAAGCTAAGTGACCTTAAAATACTTTAAAATATAAAATGTATCTGTTAGATGAAACAGGATAATCATGAATCACAGCAAAGAGCTCTTTCCACATAGGACTGTATAGCTGGGTCAATGGTAACAGAAAATGTGCTCTGCTTTGTATCTTGACTTCATGTTGGAAGCGTGGACCCTGACTCTAGTTTCTTTGAAAGGAAAGCTGGATGCACAAGTCGGAAACAGCCAAAACATGACCAAAAAATGACCGCAGGCGGGATAATTACAGGAACAGAGCTATGGAGTTCACCATGGCAGCTATCTGTAATGCAATATAGTCATGAACTGTGGTGCTACAGACTCTATCTTAACTCCAAGATACAGTCCACTCTGTCAAATAATTCTATCAAAAGAATACTACTAAAAAAAAAGAAACATATTAAAATGTAATGAAGTACTCCATTATGATTTGCCTGTAGGTGCCTTTAGACTTACCAAGTCTGTTAATATTCCCACAATACCTTAAAAAAATCTTTCTTATCTTTCCATTATAAATAGAGTTTTTCTTAGGATTAAGCTGGAGAAAAGCAAAAAAAAAGGCTTTCTCCTCTTTTTCCCTGGAAATTTTTAGTAATTAGATACCATATTTTGAAGACTTTTTTCACCTCAAAGTCTATACACAAATGAATACAATCCCAGCCTAATTTGGTTTTGTATTTGCCTGCTGCATGTAAATTACAGAGTTAGTGTCTGAACACTTCCTATTCACATTTTGTGTAATTTAGGCCTGTAAAAATTCCAGTCAGAGTAGACAGGATTAATGAATTGCATTTTCTGCAAATAGAGACAGAGCAGTTTTAAATAGCAGTTAGCAGCTAAATGCAGAAAAACACTAGAAAGACCTGTAAAATGCTTAAATGAGATCAGTATCTTGTGCAGACTGACTTCAGCATGATTTATGTATCTAATCACTCAAGTATCTAGAAGGGTTGTACAGAAATATTTACTGTAGTTTTGGACACCTATCCGTCTTTGTAAATCTCATTCAGTCCATAGTAAAAAAATTCCTTAACTTGTTATGCTGTTTTTCCCCCATGTATGAGAGTATTTAATTTTTCTTAACATGCAAAAAAAATGAATTGGAAGCTGGCACTTTGCATTTTCTTCCTCGTCCATGCATTATTCCCTGGCAATCCTGTTTATCCTGTTTACTTTATCTACTAGAGAAGAGAGAATTCAGATTTTAAAAAATCTGTCACCCTGCAACGAAAAAAACAAAACAAAACAAAAAAAAAACAAACCAGAAACCTATGAAAAAAAAAAAGAAAAAACAGAAACCTACAGCATTTTATTCACAGGAATAGTATTAATGAAGTCTTTTTTTTTCTGTAGTTGGAAATTGCTGAAGTATCACAACCACAACAACTTCCAGTGTCACACATTCAGCCTTTAATAAAATCAGCCTGTTGTAAAAACCATATAATAATACAATGTCTATGAACTGAAGATGCTTAGCTCCTCATTTGTTTGAGCCCTTCTCATATAATTCTGCAAGCATTTAGTTACAGTAGTATATAATATGCAGACTGATTTCAATGATTTCTCACAAAACCCTCCCCACCACCCTCCATGCTCAAAAGGACAATTAGACTGAACTTTTGCTCAAATTAGTGGTGCTATCAAAGCCATTCTTAATTCTGGGAGGTAATACCTTTGTAAATTAACGGAAATAATAAATTCTAAATCTGTAATGCATATGCTATACTGTTTTTCACTGTTACATTATTAGACTCATATTATTCTTGCTGATTATTTCTTTTTTGAATATGCAGGAAGTAAAACACATAAAAGTAAATATATTTTCTTTATATCCCATCTTACTTACTACATTAAGCTTGGTTTGGCTTCCACTGGTCACAAATTCTTCCTCTGATACTTTACTAAGATTGTCCAGATAATGGTCTGATATTGTATGAGAGAGATCTTCAAAAGAATATTCCTTTTCTTGGCACAATTTGATTTCATCTAGGAGCTTTGATAATTCTCCCGTCACAACTTCACCTTTAAAAACAGACAAAGAATTAGATAATAATTAGAATACCAAGGATAATTTGTGCCCAGAAAGGAAATGCATATTCTTTAAAATTCTTTGCAATATTTCTAATATTCTGTATATTATCATCTCAGCTGTGACCTTCATGTCCAAGTCCCCAGAAAGGAAAATATAATAGTATCTCACACTAGAAAGGGAACCACTGGAGATAATTTACATGCTCTTGCATTCCACTGTACTGTATATTTAGTAAGGATGAAATACAATATATATTTATCCTTTCTGTTTTCTGACCCTGAAAAATGGCTAGAAATAACAACTATCTGAAAACGTAAAGATTAACCCAAGAATAAGAAGGTTTATATAAACACCTAATTATATAAACACCTAAGACTAGTGTCCCATATTCTGCCTTGGATTAAGGTAATATGCTGTGAGCATATAAAATGTTATATAGGTTCCACAAACTGTAAGTAGCTTGGAACCGAGTTTCTGAGAAAGTGAAACAGTCCCATTGATGGGAAAGATTTAAATTCTTGATCACTTTCCCTGCATTAAATCTTGGAACTGTGGCAGGATATACTGGGCAAAACCCACGAGTCTAAAATATGCCTCTACCAGTCTACTAGTTTGAACATCTACTTGTTGCAAACACCTGCACTAGGCTCCAGCATTCTATTGCAGGAGGATCATACAGCTGCCTTCAGTAAGAGCATGCAAGAGAACATTAAGTTTTTCCAGGTATAAACAAGAAAACCCTTCTCCTGCTTAGGTTTTCAAGAGTCATGTTGCTCGCTATATTGGGATATAATCCCAATATAACACAGAGATTATTCCATTTTATTCCAACTTGGGGAATAAAATGCTGGAAAGGATAATAGACTGAGCGTATTCAGCCCAGCACACATAAAATGCACACAAATGTACACTCATGTGTGCATATAACTAAAGAAGTGCCAGATAAGACTGTATCTGCTTAGTTTAGTTTTGTGTCACTTTTCTTCATAGTCATTTTTTCATAGCCTTTTATGATAGGTAAGCACAAATGACAATATTTTCTTAAGTTACATTATTGGCGAGTTAGGACTGAGATTTTCAAGGTCAAGAACAGAAGTGGCAAATTACAAGTGTCTTATTTGTCTTTTACTATCTAAGTAAGAGAAAAGTCTCATTACCCTCAGTCAATTGTAATTTTGCACAAAAATTGTAAACGAATCAAAGCTATAGGTAGGTTTATATTCATTTTTCCAATCAGAAAAATTAAATCCTTGAAGATCAATGCTAGAGTAAATAAAAAATGGAAGTTAAAGACTGAGAGACTTATTTTCAAATCATGTCTCAGTACATTAAAAAGAAACAGGATTAGATTTATACCTACAGATTTATACGTTGTTCCCTAGCTCGCACTTCCTCAGTGCAAAAATCCCATGCTCTTCACTGATGCACTTCGTTATTTCCCACTGGACAAGAATGAGATCTGTGTATTGCAGACAGAACTACAAATGTGCTGATGGATTTTTCACTAAGTTTATTCTAACTAGCTAGCTCACTGCTGCCAAAAAAAAGATATATAAAAGATGAATTTTGCCTACCCTTCTTTCAGTGCAAGCACTAATTAAGGTCTCTGTCCTCTATCCAACTACTATTTTTTTCTGAAAGTTGAAGGAAGGTAAATGATACTGCTATCCCTCTTTGACTTTTTGTTTTTTTGAAATTAGATTGTTAGAGAAAGAATGACAGACAGATGGACAGGAAGCACAATGATGTACCATTTCTTTCCTTTAGGTTCAGATTACAAAATACACAAGCAAAAGCAAGCTAGCATATATTCCATTATTTTTACCCTGGAAGTAGAAAAAAAGAAATGCGAGATCATGAGCTTAACTTCAGGAAATACAATTTCTTTTAGAAATATTTATTACTTAATTTCACGACAGACTTATTTCTGTTGCATACAACAGTTGACTTCATAAATGATCTATTAATGTAAAAGGAAATACTTATCTTCATACAGCATATGTTGGTTCATTATCCCAATGGGAAACATGAATGGATCTCCAAGGCTTATGCAATTAGTCAGAGGTGAAAGCATGTACATGCAGCAGCAATAGGCATGGTACATGACAGATATGGTAGAAGATTTATCTATAGTAAGAGTGGCAGAGCAGCACCCAAATCACTCTTTAAGAGTCATCCAAATATAACATAATGGAAAAAGGTTGTCTGGGAAGTGCAAAGTAAACTGAGCCTGTAACTTGAATATGAACAATGTTTGGCGTATCTAGCACACTTGTGTTATACTTCATTATGAAATGCATAATGAAAGATAAATTGAAAAGATTAAAGATCAACAATGTAACACATTGCAATCCATCAGTGACTTGTACATCCTGGGAAACCAGTTCTGCACTTTCCGATATGACACAAGTTAAAGCATATGTAGTTAAGCTAGTTACTTCATGGGGGAGAAAAAGCTTCCCAATACCAGTAAGTTCTTTTTTCATTTGACATATGCTATAAATGTGTTAGTGATATAATTATGATATTACAGAAAACTTTAACAGAGCTTGTCCATTCATAGAGCACATGTATTTACTTTTAGCCTTTGGAGACGGAGAAACTTCTGGGGACAAAATGCAAGACTGATGTTCTGCGCATTCCAGTGGGGCTTCCTCTGAAACACTTGCATTTCCTGTTTCCATATATTCTGCAATTTAAAGATATACATAGGCTTAAACTCCTGATTTAATGGGTTTTTATTCCAATCAAAAGTGTATTTCTAATTTGTTTTTATGAAAGCCTGTTAAATTTTTCATATTATAACTTTACAGTTATTCATAAATAATTCATTTAAAGTATAAAACACTATAATGGGCAGTTATTCCATCTAACCTGCAGAAAACATAAAAATCTCCTTGTAGACTTAGTAAGTAGTGACTACCACAGTGTCCTTTCTGATTCCTTGCAATATCTACAGAACTCTTCTGTTCTACTATCATTGTTGAAAGAGTCTTCTTTAAGCTTAAGTTTATTTAGTGCTTTTATTCAAGGAGCAAAAAAGTAAAAATGTTGATTCTGTTAAGAAAAATACATTAAGAAAATATTCTGTTTGAGATACAGAGACAGTTCATGAAAAAAAAATGAAGAATGGGATCTCAAAAACTTAATTCTAATTAGCAGTCTGGAAAAAATGTTTTATTTTTTTCATACTTCTCCCCTTTGAAATTTCTCTAGTCCCACCTTCATGACAATGCTTAGAAAAACAGATACATATAAACTGTTGGACTAACTAAATTTCAACTTCATTACTATTCTTTTGTGTATATACAAGCACACACAGTCTAGCTCAATGGAGCATCAAGACCTTAACGCATGTCAGTGTAGGATAAATATTAAAAAATAAATTTGAAAATAATTTATGCAATGAAAATTTTGATTTCGAGCAGGATGACTGGCTCACAGTGCAGGCAGCTATTCTGCATCTTCATTTTCTTTATTTCCTTAAGTTGCTTAGACATGCAGTTTCCAGTACCTGCAGGTAATCACAGCAGTACATGGTGCTGCACACACAAAAGCAGCTAAACTACTTTCATCAAAATCGCACTGAAAGAGTGAAAGGGTTTCTGAGAAGTGAAATTTTCCCCATTTAATATCTACAGTCTATAACATACCCAATAAGCTTGTTTTTATTCATAATTAAATAACAACCCTCCAAACCAAATACAATGTATGATAAAATAGGCCTCTGAGAAAATGAAATTGGAAATGGCAGAGAAACAGCATGCTCTTTCAGAATGCTTTGCAGGTTGTTGTTTTTGTTAAGAATATGTGTTCTGAAGGTGTCGTTTAAGCCTGATGGCTGGCAATGGCCACCTGGTTCTTCTGTCACGCACCTCTCCATACAGCAATTGGGACTGTCATTTGTTCCTGTTGTGCTGGAAGCAAAGATGTTTAGATGTAAAGATGAGCTGTAAGTAAGAGACCATAAGGAAACCAGTAGCCTGATGAAATATTCTGGAAGGTTTTCCATTTCTGTTAGATACAGAATTTTCAAGTTAATGTGTGAGTTGGAGGAGACATAAAAAGGAAGGCTAGACCCTCCCAAAGAAAGGGGGAAAAAAAAGGAATTAATGGTTGAACACATGTTCTTGATAACTTTGCAACCATCTAAAAGAAAATGTAGGGGAGATTGTGAAGAACTTTAATTTTGCTGTCTTATTCATATATATATATAAATGTTGTATTTTTATTCTTTGTGAGGTCCCACTTTCAGACTAATGCAGCTACCCGAAAACTAGTCCTGAAGAGGAAATGCCAAGTTGAATATATGTCTCATAAATACTGACTTTAAAACTGCACAGTTCCTTCCAGAAGACCTCTACAAAAGGTTCAGCATTATATTGTAGAGGCTTACAATATGACTAATGGAAGCTTGTGTCCTTTTAAGAAGCACAGTGAAATCCCTAAAACTTAGACTGCTAGGGAACTTTTAGTCTTCATTTTATGTAATTAAAAATTCTACCTGATATATATAACAAATAAAGACAAGAATTTGACTATGAGAAGTTTCAAGTCCAGGCATTTACCTATAACTTTATCAGAGAAACAGGTTTTGAAACAAAAATATTGTTTCTTGATCTATTTTAATTGCCAAAACCAAAATACTACAAATAAAAGAGTAGATGCTTTTACCAGCAATACAAGTTTGTTTGTCTGAAGCTGGCTATAAATTTACCTGCAAAACCTTCCCAAACTTATTGAAAAAGAGTACACTGTTCTCATTATCTGCTGTGATTATGGAGTACCTGAGATCCTGCTCTGAATTCTATCACTCTCCTCCAAAAAGACCAGTAGAGAGACCTCTCTCTCCAACAGAGAGAGAAAGAAATAAAACGCAATCTTAACCAATTACACCACCTAATGACCAGAGGAGTTTTGCCAGTTTTGATCTCACAGAGTTTAGAGAAAAGACTACTATTCTTGTGCTAAAGGACAGTATAATCTGTTAAAATGCAAACTATCAGATTCCAAATGCTTCTTTCATCATTATGGAAGGGGCAAGAGAAGCATATGTTAATACAGACACTTCAGAGACTGTTCCTCACTGTGTCACCCTGGGAAGAAGGGAGTATGCTATATCTGTTAACTCAAAGAGCAGATTACAATTCCATGAGGATCAATACTGCGAATCCAAAAAGCTTTGCTTATTTAATAGCATTCTTTTTTACAGTTATCTGGTTTTAATCCATTCTTATTTCATCTAAAGAGCACTATGTGCACAAAAAGTCATAGTATAGGAGCGGTCGCACAGCAATGGAATTAACAGCAGTGGGTGAACATAAAGCCTCAAAGACAGCAAGTGCTGGAAAGGTGAAATGTTTGGAACTGGAGCTCTCTCCGTTTCGGTGTAGTCTCTAGGCCGCAGGCATGCAGAAAGGAAAGTGTTAATGCAGGCAGAAAGACACAGCTGCCTCTCCTCAGAGGGAAGGGTGCCAGGAATCCCGGCCATGGAAGGAGCACAGCCTGGCTCAGCTGGAGTCGCTGCCGAACTGCGAGGAGCAGGAAAAGCCCTGGCTCTAGAGAACAGCTTGCTTTAACCTCAGCTCCTCTAGGTGCTAATTTCTTAGTCAGGAAGAGCATCAAGATTTCTGCTTTATTCATAAATCTGGGTTTCTAGAGTAATGCTTTGCCTCCTAGTGGTTATATTAGCCTTAGAGAACTTTTTACTTGTAAGGAAAGGCAAAAAAATGTTTTAATGAGCTCCTTAAGCTCCTTTCCCTTTTCATTTAAGAGTCTACGTCAGTCAGGCTATAGGAGCGGATTGGCCAAGACTTCCTCCCAAGGGCAAATTTCACCAAAGAGACTGAACAGCTTTTAAATTCAAAAAGCCAAATTTGATTAGAATCTGAAAACTTGCCTTTTGAAATAGAAGAGTCCTACAGTAACTAGATTAGAGGAATAGAACAGGTTTATAAACCACTCCTCTGATGCCTCTGCTTCTCACAACATCTGCCTGAGACTCCTGCATT